CATACATACATACATACATACATACATACATGCATACACACATAACTTTACGTACATACATGCGTACATACATACAAACATACACACAAACATACATACATACATACATACATACATGCATACATACATATTAGACTGCGCACTGAATACAGGGAGAGGGGGAAACGAAAGACATAGGCGGATGTGATATGTGTGTGTACGCATGTGTGTGTAGATGTACACTTTTATATATCTGTGTGTAAATATATATATATATGCATACACACACTTGTCTGCTCGTATCTGCCATACTGTATAGAATTAGAAATTAACGGGCATCAATAAACACTCGAAACCCTCGGTCGAAAACCAAGGGTATGGCCAGGCGGTCTAAGGCTTAGCTTGGGAGCATTTCTAGAATGCCAGGATGCTCCATACAACGATTGGCTGCAAACAACAATCAGCAGTGTTGAGGCGAATAGCTGGATTTAGGGTGCGGTTCGGGGTTGCAGGATGGTGTGGAGCTCTCGGGGTCTGATTTCACATTTAGGCCAGAAGGTAACTGAGCATGGCTGTTGCATTCAGGTTTTGTGGTGTCAGACAAGTTACTAGTAGCAAACAGCGTCCCGGCGCTGAACCCTGACCATGAGACACACTTGCAGCAGCAGGAACCCCCAAGCAAAGATTTTACACGCACAGAGTGCCTACAGACACCTTAAAATAAGAATCAAAAAGTCGACAGCAAACCACCACATGATCAAGAGAAGGGCCATGCAGATCGACACACGACCAAATAAATCACGGACACGACAGGGCGGCCGAGGAAGAGATCCCAAACATTGGGAAAGTTCAAGGCTTGCCAAGCCCAAGTTTTCTGAGCAAAACCCTGGCACAGCTTGGGGTGGCGTTCGTGGGTTCGGGATTGTAGATTTTGGCACAGCGCAAGTGTGAACCCATATAAGCCCAAGAGCTCTGAAGACGTTTTCTGCAGGTGATGTGGCAGTTTGGAGTTTGTGGAACAAGCAATGATGGCAGCCTGTTTAGTGCGTCCTGCCGTAGCCTGCCCCGCTGGCAACCGGCAGTAAAGCCAGCTTAGTTTTACCCGCACACAGTCCCTCGCGATGGACTGACCGACCAAAAAAAGGCCGTGGACTTCGAGAAGTCGTACAGCTTAACACACTCTCACCTGAAAGATCTAGAGGCCCGAGCTCTTACGTTTGAGGCCCAGTGTCCGTGTAGAGCAAGCCGGAGCGCGAGGCGGAAGGAGGCCGCTCGTCTATCGCCTTTTCAAACGAATCACAAGACGTTTTAAGGATTTTTCCGGGTTTGGAAAGGGGGACTTGCGGGGCTGTACTTCGGCTCACGGTCTGCCTGATAGGCTTCAGGGAGTTACGGTTTGTGCGGTTTGGGATAATAATTGAGGTGGTCTTAGGAACTAGGATTTCTACTAGTAGTGCAAGGCCTACTGAAGCACAAGAAAGCCGCAAGTGAACTTGTGAACAAGTTGTCAATCGGGAGTTGGACGGATTTGAAGGATCGCGCTTCCTCAACCCCCAAGATTTCTATTAATCCCCAAACAAGACTCGAGCCAGGCAAGCCTTTACCTTCTGGTTCCCGAGTTGACCACCGAACACTCAATAATCTCACGGCTTCGTACATGAACCTGCTTGAATCCTTAAAGCTCTAATCCTACACCCTCATCCAATCGCCCCAAAACCTGGTCTGAAACCTCTCCCTCCNNCCCCCCCCCCCCCCCGCCCGCCCCCGCCATGCCCACACCCGTGTTTACCGGGAGCATCTGGCAGACCTCAAATGCCCTCGAGGGCACCTCGGGGCGGGAGCTGCCCGATCTGGAGCTCTCCATGCCAAAAGGCATGTCTCCAGGCATCTGCGGAATCCTTCGCGTCGTTTCGGTTTCTGGAGGCTGCTATAACAGTGAATAGGATGAACCATAAGAGCTCTGACTAAAATTCACAACAAGTTCTGACACTTCAGGCGGTGTGGCACGCGCCCCCACTCTGCTACGGTCTCCAAGACTGCGATGCTTGTCACGGGATCTATAGTTGCCCACGAAACTGCCGGAAGAACTGACTTGCTTTATTTTTTCAAGGGCTTGAACTAGCTTATGATCATAATGCAGGGTATATGATAGGAAGCTTAAGGTAGGGTATGTATTCCAAACAATCCTATTGCTTTGCGGCTGAGGGCAACTTCACCCTTTCACCTTCAGCACTTCTGACTTGGCTCGCGAACCTGAAATCCGCTTGAAAGGTTTCTAACTATTGTCGAGGACGCCGACAAGCCTCGGCCGTTATTAATTCGTGCTTTGGGGTTGGACATTCGGCTTCAGGGTTTGAGGGTGTCGGATTCAGCGGGTGTCCATGGCGCGTCGAGCACCGGAAAGGCCCCACCCGGCATGGGTACCATCGGTGGGGGCCGCTCCAGTGCAGCAAGTCCAGGATTCTGCTCTGGCCGTGCGTAGCCTGGGACCCAGCTCGCAGGAATTCTGGCTGGAGGACTGACTACTTGCAGACCATGAGTCGTCATTTCAGGTCTGAGAAGGATTAGGTGCTAAGCGAAGCTTTTACGTTGAGGCTGAAGTCCACTGGCCCCCAGTGAAGCATCTCCAGCCAGACAAGAAACCACGTTGCGAGCGACCGACACGAAACACTCTGTTCCATGATTGTTCATACTCAGGTCAGCGTGATCCAAAGCTATGAAACCCTCTAAACCCCAAAGCCCCGACCATGAAATCACCGATCCTGCACAGCCTGCCCCAGCTTTCTGAAAAAGTTCGCCCTAGCACGCTGCAACATTCGTTCTGCAGCGGATCTCCATGCAACAAGACAAGTCAAGGAACCTCGAGCTTACGCGCACAAGACTGTGTGATGACATGTATGGGCAAACAGCTTGACCTTGGAACCCGAGGCTCTATCCGTAATTTCAGAGCATTCAGGGGGCACTAACGACCATATTTCATGCAACGGTCGTCGTCGTTGCGCAGAGCAGTGCTGCCTTGTTGCTAGTGATAAGGCTGCCAGATCACTGACTGCAAATTTCCACGACAGACTCTGAAACTGAGTGGCAATCATCATGGCGAGCACCATATCTTTGCCACCATCCAAGACACTACGTAACCTACACGTGTCATGCCTATACATCGTCATCAGTGTCATCACCTTCTCCAGGATTCCCAAACATCTTCAAAGGGGCCCATGTCCTCTGGCTCCACATCCCCAGCACGGCTGCCCGTCCGCGACGAGCGAACCGAGTCGGTGCCACTGAGAATCGAGGCCCCGGTGTGGCGAAGCCTGAGAATTTGGGGAATTCTGGCGTGTTTACCTGGCCCGAGTAATCGCCATGTAACAACGGAAACCATGATGACACTGCTGTCGATGACGATGTGCATGCGCATGATCTTGATGACTGGAATGGAGATGATGGTGCCGAAAGGGCAATGGCGTGGACGCTCAGGGCCAGAATCAGCAATGTTGAGAGCGGGGTGCTCGGAGCCATTGCGCTGGCTGGCGCTGTCAAATTGAGGATTTCAGCTTAAGCAGATGCCTGCCACCATCAGACCGGTTCGAGCTCGTCTGCGTGGGACCCGGCTTCGTCGGGGAGTTGTCTGATATGTACTTAGCTTTCATGAAAGGGTGGTCCCGCGTTCCGCAACATCACAATCAAACTAGCACATGCCGGGACCGCTAAAGCAGAAGACTCCGAACAGGCAAAGACAGACATGGTTCAGCTCTCAACAAATCCCAGTTCGCGGTCGAGGCACTGCGGTTGCTGGGCTTAGCTCGACAGGTGTCGCGGCAAAGATCGACGAAGCACGGACACGGAACACTGGTTGTAGAAACCGAAACCCCCAAGCTGACAACCCAAAAGGGCGAATTTACAAACTCCTGGCAGTCTCGGAGCCTGTGCACCGGCGGCCTCTCCATGGCAACCGCCATGATGTACCCTTCCCCCTCTCTTCAGCCAGAGTGGCTACATGATACATGAAGTTGTAGGGATTCGGCCTGGGGTCGAGGGTTTATTTCGTATCTGGATATCATGTTCGCATTTCTACTGAGTATTGCCACCCAGGGCGCCGAAGCCTGGATGAGTTGTGGACAAAAACATCGAATCCGGCTGTGAAGGCCCGAAACCCCAAATCGAGAGCCTTGAACCTCTGAGCTCTTGTCTCCGGTACTTTTGCGCCGCGGGTTGTCAAACCAGAACTGCCAGCTCCTGCTACAACAACGCCAAGATAAAGAACACTGAATACCAAGCCGAGCAAGGGTGCAACATCCTACTAGTTAGTCGCCTATCCACAAGTCCATCGACCGAAAATGTCTAGGCAAAGTCCCTCCGCGATGCCACCCAACCACCCAACACTTCAAGCGAGGGATTGGGGATTTCATCTTGGGGTTAAGGGGTGTTAGAAAGTTGCGACCGAGCCTTTACGCAAAAGCCTACTCCACACGTGCCGTGTGCATCCTGAGGCCCGAAAGCCGGAACACGATGCAAACGAGAAGTGCCGCGGCCCCACAGCCCTGAAATCCCGCGCACAAAGGCTTCCTCGCAACCGCTTCCGGCTTGCCATCTCAAGCTCGAACCAACACCAAAACCAGAAGCCCTCAAATACTGAGCCCAGGCCCCCAACGGCCGGAAAATCTTCAATGCAGTTACGGTGCTGCCTTCTTGATATAGGCCAGGAAGTCATTGGCCGAAGCCTCGCCCGCATCGTCAAAGTCAGAACTGTAGAGCTCCTAGCAGGCAAGTTGCTGATGTTCTATTATTTGCTTGATTTTTCGAGTTTCTGTCTGATTTAATCAATCAGACGCTAACTACGGAGTCGTGGACAACCGAAGTGTTGAGGTCCACTCTGAGGGCTTAGCCTGCAACCGCTCGGTCCTCAGCGAAGGATCAACAAGGGCCCGGGAAAAGTTCTAAGCGCTTGCGAGACATTTCAAGCATAATCGATTGTTTGGAGAGGGCTTGGTAGGTGTGAGCAACTTCTTGCTTGCTCGACTTCCGGAGGCAGGCACCATAACAACAGACACTGGAGCCTCTGAAGCTACGGAAGTGGCGAGCAGTCTTACAAGAGCGGTGCGAAGGGTAAGAAATTTGAAGAACAGTGAAGGGCGTATTGAAGTGTTTGGCATACTTCCTCAAGGTAGAGTAACTCAACTGAGGAAGCTGTATGGTTACAGCAACATATTACAAGACATGTGCTTAGAACTTGTGGCCACAGATCTCGATGGCTCCTAGCACTGCGCAACCGAATTTTTCAAATCACATCTACAGTCTTCGCTCTTGCCTCTACAACTCCGGAAACAATCCTTCGCTTCTCGCACACATCGCTGGCTCTCTCCAAAGTCCTGGCTTTGCTGAGATTTTTAAAGTTTGACGATGTCAGGGCGTAGAGTTGTTGGTTTTCGGCTTCTGGCCTAGGATAGCTTAGGCTGCTGGGGTTTACAAGGGGATTGGGTTGTTGCCCCGCATGCCGAGCTTCTTCAGGATTCCAAGCTTGAGACTTTATGCTTTCGATAGGGAGCTTCAGAATTTTCTTGAGCCTACCGTGGCGCGAAGCTTCAAGCTCTCGGAGCTTTGGGCTTGCGCAGATCCTAGGCTTTGGTTTAAAGTTTGGGGCCTTCGGTCGTACGGTACGGAGTTTAAAAGGACTCGACATGGAGCATGGGATGTTGGTCCGAGGTTTCACGATGGGCAACCGCACATGTCATAGTCGTCTTGATACAATGTGTAGGCCCAAGTAGACAGCCGACATGGTTTGTGGGGGCTGAGTGCCTTTGGGACAGGCCGGTGCAGGTCCGTCAAGGGTTAGGGATGCTTAGGGGGTGGGCTCAGGATGACAAATCATTGCAATGTGTCAGACGTAGTGAAGGCCCTGGGTGGAAACTGCAGTGGATACCTACATCTGCGGCCTCAGACTCTGATCATCTCTGGTCGAGGACCATGCACATCCTAAACACCTCTAGGGCTAACTTCTACGTAAAAAGCTTAAATTTGAAGTCCAAATTGCTAAGCCCTACATCACAAGCCCCAAAACTCCTAAGCACTGACTCTCGAAGCTCGAGGGTTTGAAGTGCAGCAGAATCCTGTCCCGAAACACAAACATATGTACGGGCGGGTGTAATAGTAAGCATAGTGTAGGGCAAGGGCTTTCAAGGTCAGGATGTGGGCTGCAAGTTGGGTTCATATCTTGTTTGGCCAGGGGTAGCTGCCGTAGTTTCCGCTGCATGACTGATGACTGCCGTGAATTGGATTGTTGCACATGTAAGCTACACTACTACTGTGAGAAGCCATATTGCTACCGGTCACGACACGTCTGACTATTCATACCCCTCTCGTAGTCTCCTCCGGAAGAAGCGGCTGAATTATCGGCAAAAATCTCCGATTGAAACCACAATGACTGAATCAACCTTGCAAAGGTGCAAGACACTAACCTCACTAAATCTGGCACCAATCCAAACCTGCAACACCCACCCGGGCGCCTGCTGCTGCACATGGGCCCCTGCCTCCAGGAGCAAGGCGCTGGCCTAAAGAAGAACGGCCGGCCAGGTTGCATTGGCCATAGGGCTTAGTTACTTAGTTTCTGCGCTCAGACTTTGCTGCGGCCCTGAGTTACGAGCTGAGGGAACCAACAAAAAACACATAAACAATAATCAGCTTATGCTTGCATCCGCCGCCGCCCCAACAAACTCTCGGTGGTTTGGTGCATCGTGAGGAAGGATTTGAAACGAGATTCGAGCTGGTTAGAAGGGCTTGGGTGGCTCCAAAATTCGAGGTGATGTCTGCTCGAGGCATTCTGCCTTTGAATCGCATCCCAGGTGTGGAACACCCACACACCCACCCCCTCCGCTTCTAAACACTAAACCTCAAACAGATGACTTCTATGTCCCGATCCTCTAACCCAAGCCGAACCTCCACAACTACTCGCCCCACACCCAGGATGTGGGACGAGGGTTACCGATGTGAACTCAGGTCGGCAAAGATCGGCATGCGCTAGGCTTTATCATGCCAATCTCTCACACACACACACACAACAGACTGCTGTGCATCCGAAACCTGTTCTGATGGAGATGGGTGAGGAGGCTTGAGAGCCTGGGATCAGAGGTTCGCGAAGGCTCATGACCCCAACCATGGACCCTCAAGAGTATGGATATGTTCTTAGCAATGCGGGGTCATCAGAATGCCAAGGCTAAGGTTCCGATATGAGACCTCAAACCGGACCGAAGTACGAGTCCGTTGGCTTGCCTCAGCTGAGGCCTGCTTCTGCTTGCGCGACACTTCCTGTATGGATTGGGGCTTACCACTCAAATTCGTTTCAGCCTCAGACAGGAGTACGACTTCGTTCATAACAGGTTGTGGGAATCGGCTCCGGATTTCGGGTGCATGCTTGAAGACTTAGGGTTGGGGTCACCCGGTGAGGAGCATGTGTGCTTGCATTGTTAGGCAGCTGGCGGGGGGGTCGCCTTGGGACTTGCAAAGCAGAGACAAAAGGGAGCGCCAAGCAGAACATAAGGCGTTCGGACTTCAACAAGTGAAGGTTGAGGGGGTGTTGGCTTTGGATTCGGAATGGGCGAACCTTCAATTAGGAATGTGCAAATTCCAACCTGGTTGGTCCATCCACCCTGAACCCGGCCTGAACCCATCTAGCCCGATGCTTTCAGACCTCATTTTGGCCTCGGGCCCTGTTGCTGTGCCTTGCGTGCCTATTGATTCGGCTTAGGGTCCAGGTTGTTGGGGCTTTCGCACAGCACCGTAGGCCTCCGCCAACATATTGGGCCCTCCCGAGGTCTAAGCGTATCATACCTATATACGTAGTTGTATCAACTCACATGTCTTACATGTGTATATAGATATAGACATACATACATATGCATATATATATATACACACACATGATGAATAAATATATGCGAAAGTTAACTAGCATTCATATGCATATGTATGCCTCCCAGCACGAGGCTCAGGCAAAGCATGCTTGTGCTTTAAGTGGATGTGTAGCCGAGACACTGCACCTCAATCCGGCAAACGATGCGGGATAAATTGAGGCTGGAGCAATGCATGCAAACATCAGCAATGCTAAAGGCGATCAAAGTGACGAAGGTGAATATGCTGAGTCGGAGGAGGCGGACGACGACGACGACGATGATGATGATGATGATGACGATGGTGATGACGATGGTGATGATCATGACGTTGTTCATTAAGCCCAAAACCTGGCCTAAGACCCAGCCCTGCCGGTCCTGACTTTCCCGTGATGTCTCGAGAGCCTCCTGGCACGCTTTGGAAGGCAATCAAGTTCAGCAAGCATCCCTGGAAATGTAGGCCAATGAGAAGGTCCAAAGAGACCTGAACGATGTGAAGGAAGACATAGCTGGTAGTGGATTGTGACTGCAATGGAGAAGGAGCTACGACAAGTGGTACTAACAATCTTGCATGCCCCTGAGGACCTAACGTCCGCACATGATTGTATTTGATAGTGAGCGCACCGGACTGGACGACCTGGGTCTTCTCACACCGACGTCGGAAACACGACGTGAATTCCGTCTTAATCTGCACGAGCATGCAAGCTACACTCATCGCATGAAACGAACACGCGGTGCGGGCCGGCATGCCTACATTTGATTAGCATATCAGATCGAACCCCACATCATCAGGAAACTACACTGAAGCTCAAACCATGCACGAGCCTTCGACATGCCAGAGAGAAGCTGCGAATTCCTCGGAGAACCCTTGTGGCGTCGTCTGAGGTCTTGTTGATTTAGAGTGCACAAGCGGCCATGTGCACAAGGGCCATCTGAGGCCTTGTTAACTCTTGGGGGGAATTTGGGGCGGCTGTCGTGGCCGCTGGGAAGGCAAGGAAGGAAGGAGGGAAGGAAGGGAAGGAAGGAAGCGACAGGTCTTGCGCTTTCTGTATTTCCTGATCTTGTTCAGAGACACG